CTCTGGACCTAGGATATAAATTGAAGCAGAATCAGATGCAATTATTTTTCTGCAAATCCCACTGCTAATCTTAGTAGGCAGAGGAGGGGAAAATTCCTCTGTTAGGACAGGAATCACAGGGAGGCAGGAGTTCTGCAGAGCAGTTATGGGGCTGCCACAGCCTTTAAGCAAGAATTGAAGGACAAGGAAGAGAAAAAAACTAAATTACCATAAGAACTGAAAGGGAAGATTCAACTGAACAACTCATCCATCCCTGTGAGGACATAATACAGGTCATTGGCAAAGCCTTCTGAGAAACCAAACCAAATGTGTGTGTAATTTTTTAAAACAAATTTATTCATGGTTCTCAAAGTGCTGGGTTTACCAGAAACCAAGGAACCAAATACTATTTCAACATTTAGTTTTTAAAAACGTATGTTTTCTAACTTCAAAGGATTCTCCTTAAAAAACACACACACACAAAACAAAACAAAAACACAACACACTCAAAACCGTGTATCATGCAAAAGCCAGTTTATTGCCCGTACAAGATATCTGGTTCACTAGCTAAAGGTGGAGCAAGCATCACTTGACTAATGACTTCCAAAGTGTCAGCTGGGACAGACTGTGTTTAAACTGTTCGGGTGCTGCCTCCAAAGGGAATGCCTGCCACACAAAGCCCGTGATTCACGGAGTCCCAGGGATGGGAACCTGGCCTGCTGACAGCACAGCCTGCGAGGTGTTCTTGGTCGGGGTGGAGAACAGACAGACCGCTTGCTGTAGATCTCACAAGGCCAGCACTGTGGGCGCAGGTACATTGTATAATGTCTGCATTATATCACTGGTTACGTTACACGGCTCAGATGGGTTTTGCAGGAAAAATTGCTGCGCAAATCATCTCCCTGGTGGTGTCTCTTCATGAGCGTAGCTGACTAAATAAGAAGGGTGTTTAGGTTGGTTTTGCCTCTCCAGAGTTGTTCATCGTTTCTGGGTCACTCTGTAGACCACAAAGACTGAGTCTCAACCCCGAACTATTCTTTCCACGTGGCGACAGGTCCCTTCTGCTTTGCGGACCTTGGTATCCCCAGACATAAAACAAGAGGGTTGGATCCGTTATAGTTTAGTTACGAATGACCACATCTTTCTCTTGGTCGGGTTAGTGTTTGATTGACAAACTAATGTTTTCAGCCATTCTCACCTTTGAGGATCTTTCTTTTTCCAATAAAAGTGACTCGTTGGTGAGCTGGAGTCTGTAGTTACTTTTGCCAGGGTACATAGGTTTTCCATAGGTGGCAGAGCCTGGTGAGCAGAGGGAGTGAAAGATACCTGGGTTCCAGTTCCTTGTCTGAGCTACGAGCGTGAGGGAGAGCAGGAGAAGTTGTGGCGAATGGTCAGAGTAGTGCAGAGAACCATGTCGGTACCCAGGACGACTTTCCCAAGGTAGGGAAGGAGCCATGCGGTCATTTGCACCACGGACATTACCTTCTGTCTTAGTAAGGTTCCTAGCAGTTTACTTTCTAGGATAAGGTTTCAAGTTTTTTCTACACGGTTTTTTGGGGAAAAGAATTTTCAAAATAGAATCGCATCATACGTCAACCTTTTTTCTTTACCATGAAGTCCAAAGACTAAATGGTGTATTATTTTTAGACTTTATACTAAGTAGGGAGGTATCAAAACACTTAAGAAATGTCCCAGTCATGATTTGGAATTTCACATCTCAAGTAATTTGGCGACCCTTTTCTTAGCAAATTTTTCTGGGAGTGAGGATGATTGCATCTTAGACTGAAGTGCACGTTGAGATTATTTCATGCTTTTCACTAGGTTAGGGGTGGTGAATTGGTGCTGTTATCCTATCCTCCTTGCAGATATTGCCACGTAGACATAGCATTTTTTGCTAAGTCTAGACAGCCTCCAACTGCTTACCAGACGGTGGTCCAGACAGCCAGAATCAGTCTATTAGAGCTGGTATATCAGACAAATCTGATTGTTTCCCTGGACTGGATTTTATTTATTGTATTATTGATTATGTAGTATTTAGTGCCTAATCATATTAGATACTCCCTTTCTCTCTTAATTTCCTTAATCGAAGCAACTCAAAAAGGTGTTGTTGTTTTTTTTTCATTACATGTGTTTTCTAAATATTTTTATTTAAATAAAAGTCCCATTCAAACAGATGCCTAGTTTTAGGGAGTCCTTTATACAAATCATTTGCCCGTTGGTGACACTACATTCTTTTCATGCCTGTGGTGAGTATTGGCCTGTGGTATTAGGTTACACCACCAGTACCTAGAACCGGAGAGTTCATCCAAAACAGAAGCGAAGCCTAAGAAAGCATCTTTTATATCCAGTCTGTAATCACAGCCACCTCTCAGCCAGTGTTGAAGATTGCAGGCCTTGTGGCAGGGAGCCCATTTAGTTCTGTGTCACACAGAATGAACAAGCGGGCCATTTCTTCCGTCTTCTCTAGAAGCAGAAGTTTTGTTTTAAATGTTTTTTTTCCTCCCTCATTAATGATGTACATGTTTACTGTGACTTCTGTCTTAGGGAGAAGAAAAATTCACTTGCAAATCTACTACTGAGAGATAATAGTGGTGGAAGTTTAAGTCAATAATATCTTCTGTATGTAAACTTGTATGCATTTGAAATGTCTGCATTTCATTCTCTGATTTCATTCTCATAAGAGCAGATGGAGCAGACTGCTTTCTATATTTGTAATATAGATAGAGACTTAAAGAGGTTACAGTGATTTTATGATGGCCTTGCAGAAAGTTAATGGCAGAGTTAGAATTAGAACAACCCCTATTTAATTAACTAATTAATTTTCAAGTACACGATACAGTATTGTTAACTGTAATACCATGCTCTACATTAGATCCTCAGAACTTATAACTGGAAGTTTGTGCCCTATGACCAACATCTCCCTACCCCCCAGTCCCTGGTAATTCTCTCTGTTTCTCTGAGTTTGGCTTTTTAGATTCCACATATAAATGAGATCATACAGTACTTGTGTTTCTCTGTCTAACTTATCTCACTTTGCATAATGCCCTCAGGTTCCAGTCTTGTTATTGCAAATGGCAGGATTTCCTTCATTTCTCATGGTTAAATAATATTTCATTGTCGTGTGTGCGTGCGTGTGTGTGTGTGTGTGTGTGTGTAACATCTGATTTATCCATTCACCCATAGATGGACACTTAGATAATATTTCATTGTCGTGTGTGTGTGTGTGTGTGTGTGTGTGTGTGTTTGTAACATCTGATTTATCCATTCACCCATAGATGGAGACTTAGGTTTTTCTATATTTTATCTCTTTGAGATCCTGATTTCATTTCCTTATATAAATACCCAGAAGTGGAATTGCTGGGTCATATGGTAGTTCTAGTTTTAATTTATTGAGGAACCTCCATACTGTTTTCCATTGAGGCTGTAACAGCGTAGGAATGGCCATTCTAACAGGTGTGAGGTGATATCTCATTGTATTTTTGATTTGCATTTCCCTGATGATTAGTGATGTTTAGCACCTTTTTGTCTGTCCTCCTTGGAAAAAATGTCTATTTAGTTCCTCTGTCCATTTTCTAATTGGGTTATTTATTTATTTATTCATTCATTCATTCATTCATTTATTTATTTATTTAATTTATTTTGCTGTCAAGTTGTATGAGTTCCTTACAGATTTTGGATATTAAACTCTTAACAGATACGTGACTTGCAAGTGTTTTTCCCCACTAAGTAGGTTGCCTTCTCATTTTGTGGATGGTTTCTTTTACTGTGCAGCAGCTGTTTAGTTGGATGTATTTTTTATTTTTTGCTTTTGTTTGTGCTTTCGGTGTCATATCCAAAAAATAGTTATCAAGACCAGTGTCATGGACCTTTTTTTTCTTATATTTTCTTCGAGGAGTTTTATGATTTTGAGCTGAAATTTCTTTATCATGATTGTCATGGTGATTACATGACTGTATTTGTCAAGACTCATTGAATTATACACTTATAATTGGTTAATTTTATTTCTGGTATGTTATGCCCCAACAAAGGAAGAACTAGAAACAAACTGAATGTCTACCGTCTGTCAAGTGCTGTGTTAGGAATATGATTTCATAGATGTGATGTGGGTCCTCCTCCAGGCAGCTCACAGCCTGTAGAGTTGGTGTAGAAACACACAGGTCAGAGAGATAAGAGCCCGTGGCGGAGTACATCTGCTGAGTCACAACGGAAGGCGTTCTTGACTAGGGAAAGTCCCACAACGGAGGCGCTTGACCTTTAGTGTGGTGGGTGGGCAGAAGCCAGGTGAGTGTTGCGGGGAAGGGCATTCCAGGCAAAGGCCTGTGAGTGTGAAACTGCACGGTGACGTTTTATAAACCATAAGGAGCCCAAATTGCTGGAGCTGTGAGATTTTTATGTCAGTGGCAAGAGTAGAAGCTGGGCAGGTTGGCAGAGAGGTAGAAGATGAAATGTTTCTCAAATTTGCTTTTCAAATCCATATTGCAAGAGAAATTATGTACTTGAGAGAGAAACCCTCCCTCTTGGACGAGAGACGAGATGATCAATGCACCCATTCATGTCTCTCCGTTTCATTGCTTTTGGCTTAAAGACAAAACAACAAAAAACCTCGCTTTTACTATAACTGTTTTTAAATAGTAGTTCTCTGTGAACAGACCTCAGCTGAATTTGTGTAGCTAAGGCTGTACTTGAGCTTCACATGTTACAAGGAGGAAGCATGTTTCAATGTTTGAGAAAGCCTTTCCTACTAGCCATCTAGGAGAACTACTGAGATTTGCCCCGTGTGGCTTGTGCCTTCAAGCAAATGCCAGTTTCTTTGTACCAATAGGGAGAAGTACAAAATCTCCCTCGCATTGCATTTTGAAAAGGAGAAAACCTTTTGAAACTGCTTATTGGTTCAGCTCCATCTATATGAAATTCTTAAACATCATCTATCCTTGGAGGGATACAAGCAAGTACAGGATTTAGATTAACAAATGGGACAGCTAATTTTGTTCTAAAACTGAACGCTTTGCCATATTTTACAGGCAATGGATTTTGAAGGCTGGGCTGATACCCTCTTTCTTCTGCAGTTCACCCTCTCTTGTGTGATGGGGTAAGCCTTTGCTGTCTTGTTATCAAGTAGTTTTCCTAGAGAAATGTGTTGGAGGGGTCCCTTTGCCTCATTCCTCAGTATCCTGTTCTGTCCCTTGAGTGTATCCGCCTCCGATAATTAAGCTTCCGCATTCAGGTGGTTTCACAGCCCTTGGGAATGTGCCCTCAGGGCAGCTAAACTGATCCCAAAGTCATGCTTAGGAGACTGGAGAACAACTAATATTTACCCAATTACATAGTGGGTAATAAGCACCATTATTTCTCAACATTATTTTTCGCCATGTAGTTCCTTTATATTTTTTCTAAATTGACCATTTGGGAGATGTTGTTGTCCCTTTAACCATGAGAAAGCAGGCTCAGAACTCAGGTAGGTTGCCTGAGTTTGCACAATTAGTGATTGTTGTAAAGCAAGCATGTCAAACTCAAAGGCCAAATAAACAAGGTTTAAGTTTATGTGGGCTGCAAAAAAAACAAAAGCTTTAATTTTCATAGAAGCTTAGGTTTATTTCGATAGAGACATGCTGAATACAAAGGGCTGAAATAAATGAGTAATCATTAACATAAAATAATAGAACATTTTAATAAAAATTAATATTTTTTCTTGAGCATGAACTTACCAGACACTGAATAACTGCACAAATGAATAAGCGTAATACAAATAAACCTATTTTTCTTGTTCTCCGAAAGCAAAATATTTCTTGTTGTGCACACCAAACAAGTCAGTCCAAGACTAATGACGTGTCAGTCGGCTGCTAAAATAGTCACTGCTAGTATTAGAGGAGAGAAATGGTGCGCTTGCGTGTAAGGCGTTAAGGGAAATGAACACAATACGATTATAGTAATCAGTCATTAGCGAACATTGTAGTTCATTATTAATAATTATGTATAACAGCATATTGTAAAAATTAAGTTACGACATTTTTATTAAAATGTTTCTTACTTACCATTATATTGGCTAGGTCACAAAAATATTCGTTGTGGGCCGCATGTGGCCTGCAGGCCGCGAATTTGACATGCTTGTTGTAAAGTCAGCACCTGGATCTTACTCATAAGATACCTCTTCCTTCTTTATTCCAGGTTTATCTTGATGTACGCCACAGTACTCTGCACTCAGTATAATTCTGCTCTTACAACTACAATAGTTGGCTGTATTAAGGTGAGTTGAAAAAATACTGTTATCTTTTGGGGACCTGCTTTATTTGAAAATTATTCCTCTCAAATAAGTTGAATATGGCCTTAAGCCATATTTTTTCCTTATTTCTTCACATTTTTTTTTTTAGTCTGATGAATTGTGATGATGGTCTCTGAAACAGTCTTTAAGAACTCAGGGAGGACATCATCTCTACTTTCAGGCAATTTAGCTCCGAGGAGCGTGAGAAAAGGAGAGCCTGTTATCTTAGAGAAGAGGAAGGAGAATTGGGCCTGTTTCTGACGGGGCAGCTGACAGCTCAGTAGGGAGAGGCCTGTCTTTAACCCCTGCTGAGAGCTGCTCTGTTCTCTGCGTCATCGAGTGCTGGCTGTTTTGTGGGGAAAGGGTGCCTGCCAGAACTAATCAAGGGAGGTTTCCTGTGTGTCAGCCAAACCTAATGGCCCACTTTTAAAAGCTGCATCTGACTTTCCCAGTGATGTCATTTCCTCCTGATCATTTTATTTGAGTCAGGCTCATTTGTCTTCAGCCAGGAGAGCCAAATTGACTTAAATATTGAGCTGACGTTAGTTGCCTTTGGGACTTCCTTTATGATGCCCCTTTTGTCAAAAAGTGAGGGAAGTGGTTGCAGAGAAAAGTTTTTACTGCTCTGTTACCCTTTGCACCCCCATTGGAGTGGTGTCCACATGACCTTATTTTAGAAATTAGATTTGGGTCAAAACTTCATGGAATTGGAGTGTTCGGTGTGAATAGAATTGTAGATTGAACTATAATAATCAGTTCTTTGAATTCCATTGAAATCTAGACAGTTAATCTACTTTCAAAGGTCTGGCTGGCTGACATGGCTTTAGCGCCCACTGCCGTCCCCCCCTCCTCCGGCCCAAATGAGCTCTCAGCTCTGTTTCCGTTTTGTAAAGTAAATGCTTTTAAGAGCAAAGTGGATGGCTTGCATCTTCAGAATAAGAACAGCAAGAGCAGGGCAGCTGGTAACATGTTTTTGGCCAAGAAGAACGATGGTACAGGAGAGCCTAGATTTAATTTTAATAACTAAACCTATTTGCTTACAATTTCTTAGTGCACTTTCTTTATCATTATCAGCATGGGGCACAGATATAGTCATGCTCTCATGAACATGAAGTCCAGTACTTTACTTTTGCTATTTCCTTCTCTGCATAGAACCCTATGAACTTAGTCCAAAGGGATCAGTTTTACTTCCAAACTCCAGAGGGAGGGAGAGAATTGGATTGTCTGTGTGCTAGTCGTGTACAATTGCTGTTGCTTCTGTCTGCCACGTGGTATCGCTCTTGAAGGATGTCTTGAACCTTCTGGCAGATGAGAGTCCACTGAAGCCCTTGCTATTTCACTCTCATGAGTGACAGTGGAGCTTCTTTCATTGGTCTCTCAGTTCATACCCTTTAGCTCAGTCATTGTTCCCCAAGGGGCTTTAAGCTGTCCTCTGTGCTTGAGGATCCCAACCCCATAAACCCTTGGGTCAGCATTCCTTGTTTCTTTTAAGTGTGGTGGGAAAATTACTTAGGATAGCTAGTTAAACATGGAAATTCCAAGGCCCACCTTGGCTATACTGAGTCAGCATCTCTGAAGTAGAGCCTGGAAATTATCATCTTTAGCAGTTTCCAGATGATTCTCAGGTATTACTAAAACTTGAGAATTAGTTTTGAACTGCTAGACTCTTCTGTGCTTCCTGGTTAGTTCTGCTTTGTGGGCATTGGGGTCCTTTCCTGATAGCAAACCTTTGTTAGGCTGCCCTAGTGGTACTTACAGTTTTTCTACCTTCTGCTGATTGGTTTTGCGCAATAAGGATTGGGTTCTCTGTCTTTTCCCTTTCTAAAGTTCCTTGAGCAATTATACAAATTAACCTACCTTCTCCCTGGATCTCTGGATCTCTGTATTCGAAGAGAGGTCCTATTACACATTTTCCCCAGTTGCCTACTGTTACGTGGCATTTCACATACCCCCCCCCTGAAATAATTAAAAAGATCTGCTTTAAGGTAACTTACTCTCTCCATCCTTAGACTTAGAAGAGGTAGACATAATTTTGAATGCTCAAAGGGCACTCCATTATAAAAATAATTTTGAAGTTCATTTTAAAGTATAGCATTTTGTGCTTCAGAGGCCTAATCTAGGAGAACCCAGCTACTAAAAATGTTTGTGACATTTACCGTTTATGGCAGTTGTAAAGGCAGAGAGGGAGGTAAGTGACTTAGGAATGTGAAACAATGGAGGTTAGGGAAGAACTGAATACATTTGGAAAATTTTATTTCACCTTTGTGGTCCGAGTTTAATTAAAGGGGACTACAGATAAGCAGAAGATGTTTATGCCTGGGAGATTAAGTGAGTCAGGAGATGTGATTTTAGGTATTGCTACTTTGAGATGACTTCCCATGTGTGTTTTGAAAATAGTAAGAAGGCTCCTCTAAAAACTTTCTTCATGTTGGTAAACTCCCACCATCCCCTTTATCCTTTTCAAAAAAGAGGGAAAGATTCTTGATGTCACCAGGCTTTTCTTCTTCACTGTCCCCTCACAAGTGAACAGTTATCTCAATGAGAGGAAGAGCATTCTTTTCTTATTGCTAAGTATGCATTAGTGTTTTCTACCTTGGAAACAGCAGTGTTTCTCTATTTAGATTTGTAATGTCAGCCGATACCACAGAGCAGAGAAAGTTTGATAACCTTGTTAGTATTTTTTAGTATTGGTGAAAGCATTTAGCGTCTGTAGAGAAAAAATTGGGCAGAGGCTAATGTCATTGTTTCCTTGTTAGTGTTCTTGCTCATACTACACTCATTTTAGGCTTGTTGGAATTTTGTTATTACCCGTTTATTTGTTGTTTTGTATTTTAAGAATAGGTATTTGGGTCATAGAATGGAGGAGTTTATATGAATATTTAAAAAGCTCAGTTAAACCTATGTAACAGTCCATTGCTTTTTTTTTTTTAGAATATATTAATAACTTATATTGGAATGGTCTTTGGTGGAGATTATATTTTCACGTGGACAAACTTCATTGGCTTAAATATCAGGTAAGTAAAATATTTAAATATAACCATTTTGACAAATAGTGTCACAATAAGATTGGGCTATTTAATGTCAAATTTGTTCATTTATTAAACCTATTTGGAGTGCTTCCAATGTATTATATATTTAACATCTTTAGGTAGTTCTTTTTAAGAAAGGGAGAGAAAGTGGTTCCATATTTTATGCATAATAGTTGGGGAATCTTTTCTGGAAGTTGAATTCCTTTTACTTAGCTCTTCGAAGAACAGACCTTTACTTAGTATGCCAGATGGCAGTACACTATTCTCAAGAAAATTCAGGGCTAAAGAATACCAGCTCCGTTAGAAATGCATTATATGTGTCTGACTTTGGCCATATCACTGCATTTCTTTAGACTTTATTTATCTTCATCAATGATGAGCGTGACTTGTATGAAAGATCTTTTTCAGCTCAAGAATTTTGAATCTCATGGTTTTTAATCTATTTATATGCTTAAAAATTCTTACATTTGTATTTGGGCCAGACCTCTGTCCTGAACTCATGCTCTGTATTTAACAGCCCACTTGACATCTCCAGCTGACATGTCCAATACTGACCTCCTCTTGGTTTTTCCAAAGTCTCTTCCACCCAAAGCCTCTGCATCTCAGCTGATGGAGACTCCATCCTTCTAGGCTTTCAGTTTTAAAACCTTGGAGTCATGTTTGACTCTTCCATCTTATACCCAATATCTACTGTGTTAGCAAATTCTGTTGGCTCTACCTTCAGAATATATTCGGAAAAGGACTACTTCTCACTATCTGCATTGTTCATCATCATCTAAGCCACCAATATCCTGGTCTAAATTACTGCCTAGTTTCTACATTTGTCCCTGGTTTGACTCCTTTCTTGTCCACCCCATCCCTCAATCCCACCCTGCATTCCTTAACAGAATAGATAGTGTATTCCTTGTAACAAGTAAGTAAAACACTCCTTATTTTACCCCCGCCCCAGGCTCTTCATGTTCCAAAGTGCTGACAAGGCCCTACAGGACCTACCTCCTCTTTACCTCTCCAGTGTCAGCTCCTGCTTCTCTTCTTCTCCGTCACTCCGCTTCATCCACATTGGGGTCCTTCCTGTTCCTTTAGAACAGCGGTCGCCAACCTTTCCGACCTCATGGACCACTGGTTGGCGACCACTGTTTTAGAACACTGGACATGCTCCCACCTTAGGGCCTTAGTACAGGCTATTTCCTCTGCCTGGAACATTGTACTGCCAGATACTTGCATGGCTAACTTCTTTACACCTATAAAGTTTTGCTCAGAGGTTACCTTCTCAAGGAAGTCTACCCTGACCACCTTATTTAAAATTGTAACCTATGGGGGTATGGGAAGAGGGAGAAGAGGCTATAGGGGGGATAAATGGTGATGGAAGGAGACTTGACTCGGGGTGGTGAGCACACAATACAATATACAGGTGATGTGTTACAGAATTGTAAGCCTGAAACCTATATAATTTTATTAAAACCGTGCCACCCCAGTACATTCAATAAAAACAAAAAATATATAATTAATTAATTTTAAAAATTGCAGTCTACTCTTCCCCTTTTGATTCTTCCGAATCATCTTATTCTGCTTTTTTGATTACTTTTTTTCAGAGCACTTAATCACTTTCTAATATACTGTATAATTGGCTTACTTATATTTATTGCCTATATTCTGTCTTCCCTGCTAGAATGTAACTTCCATGAGGGTAGGGCTCTCTGCCTATATTTTTCACTCAAGTTTCTCAAGCTCCTAGAATGAATCCTGGTTGTTGCTTAATAAGTATTTGCTCTTTGAATTCTATCTGGATTGGTGAAAAAGCACATTGAGAACTATGAAGCTCTCGCCTAGACTATGGTAGCATCATCTTTCTCCTTTGCAGCAAATTACATAACCTCTCTGAGCTTTAATCTCTTCACATGTAAACAAACGATAATACCTATTCTACCTCTCGTATGGATCAATATGAGAATCTAACACAAATATTAATAGGTTCATAGTTCATCGTTGCCCCTTCCCTGACATCGTTTGCCACTATTGCTGTTGGCCTTTTAGAGGAAAAACCGTTGGTGATTTGTGGGATTCGGAGTTGGGGGGACGGTGGGTATACAGTCGACCTGAGAATTGCACATCATAGAGGGAAGATGAGTAGTCGGGTCTCAGACCTGGTTGGAGTTGCCATTCCGAAACGAGCCGTCTGTGCGACTGAGTTAGTTGCTCATCTTTCCTGAGCTTCAGTGTTTGTAATGTGCTAAGGATGGAAATACCTATCATTTTAGAGTTGTTAGAATGAAGTAACCTAATGAGTATAAAGTACCTAACTCACTGCTTGACATCTGTGCTTAGTAAATATCTCTTTCGTTAAAATTTGTGTGGAAGGGCCAGGATATAAGGAGCAAAATGGTGAACCAGTTCTGACTTTGGACATGGCCTGATTTTCACTCATTTCTAAAAGTCTGGATTAAAAGTCATTATGACACTATATAGACCTGAGTCAGAGATGCCTTAATTTTCTTTTTGTCCCCTTAAAATGATTAACCCGAGAGCCACAATGAAGTAGAAGCTTCTATTTGCATGTTTAGATCTCTACAGTTCAACTCTCTTATAAAATAATCTTATAAGACAGGTTAGATATCTTTTTTTCACATTGGAAGCCACTTAAAATAACTTTAAGTTCCCGAGTATATTGGAGTGTTACAACTTATGTCAGCCTAACATGTATGAAATCTAACATCTGGAAAAATTCTTCCAGTAGAATTTCTGTTTCAAGATGTTGGATTTGATACATGTTAGGCTGACAGAAGTAGGGCTCTGTGGCGAGTCTGGCTCTCTCCAAATCCCCTAAATGCCTTTTTCCAGTGGCCAGTTACAAAGGTGCTGGTCCAAGCCTGAGACAGCTACAGAGAGGGTGGGAAGGAGTAGAGAAGGGTGGTGACAGCGCGTGCTGCTGCACTTCTCCCGGTGGCTGCACTCTGTCTGCGGCTTCTACTTGAGTCATGTAGCCTTTCCAGGTAATGACACCATCATCCTCATAACTGCCCAGGCTGGAATTCTTAGAATCTCTGGAATTCATCTTAGCTGTAGTCCCCCCCCCCTTTTTTTGTTTCCATTAAAAAAATTATACATTTAATTACAGTAAAATTAAACCCTTTTAATGTACAGCTTATGAGTTTTGACAACTACTGCACCACATTCAAGATATGAAACGTTTGTATCACACGCCCACACCTAAAAAAAAATCTCCCTATGTCCCTTCGCATTGAACCTCTGCCCATAATCTGTTTTCTGTCCAGAATGCCATATAATGATACATAATATTATGTAGCTTTTGGCCTGACTTCTTTCATCTAGCATAGTCCATCTTGCATTTGAGATTTTGTGTTGTTGCATATATTAGTAGTTTATACCTTTTTATTGCTGAGTAGAATTCTATTCTTTCAATTGGTGAATGGATAAACTGGATATGTCACAGTTTATCCATTCACCAATTGAAAGACAAGTTTCCAGTTTTTAACTGTTTTGTATTAGCTGCTAAAACATTTGCTTAGAAGTTTGTGTGTGAACATCGTTTCCATTTTACTTGGGATAAATACCTAGGAATAGAATTCCTGGGTTGTGTGATAAGTGTATGTTTATAAGAAATTCCTAAACTATTCTTTGAAAGTGTCTGTAACATTTAGGTTATCCTAAAACTCCTAGGCAGATAGATTGGTTCACATCCTGGCCAGAATTGTATGACTAAGGTACTTCTATTTTTAAAGTATGTGCACAGACCAACACTTATCTTAGTATAGCAAGGACATAAATAGATCCCTGGGAAGGCAACAGTTAGGAAGTTAATGTTTGTTGAGTGCTTGTAGATGATGGTCACCTTTATAGTGTCATCTCATTTAATCATCTCACGTAATAATGAAATCAAGGTCAGAGAGGTGAAATAATTTGCCCAAAGTCACACAGCTATTACCATAGTAAGAATCAGAGCTGAGATTCTAACCCTGATCCATCTTTTAAAAGATGCCCTATAATTCAACCATGTGAGGGCACATGGGATTGGAGGTTAAAATGGCCCTTCTTGTTTTGAACATTTGCAGAGTCTCCTTGCTTACTTCCTGCCTGATTTGTCTTTTATTCTATTTTCCTCTGCAGACAGGGAAAGAATCAATTGTTGAGCCCTTTCTGTACATGTATTAAAGGAAGTAACTACTTAGTGCATGCAAAGCCATAGGCTAATTTTTATTTTCAGGGAATTTGTAATCTAGCTGGGAAGATTTATTCATAAAAAAATGTATAATAGCCACCTACCAGGTACCAAACATTGTTGTTGGCAGTGGAGATAGAGCTGCTAGCAAACTGATTAAAACCCTTTCCCTTCATGGAGTTTTCCTTGTAGTAGAGGAGACAGAAAATGAAGGAAGAGATAAATGAGTGAACTATGTGCTGGTGATAAATGTTAGCTCTGATAGATAGTATTGCAGAAAAATAAAGCAGGGCAGGGGGGATAGGGAGTATTTCAGGGGTGGGGGCACCTGCTGAAAGGTTATATGTTATGTAAAGACCTAAAAAATGGAGGGAATGAGCCACATTGATTTCTTGAGGGAAGAGCAAGTGAAAAGGCCCTGAAGTGGGCCTGGCCGGTGTGGCTCAGTGGTTGAGTATCAACCCATGAACCAGGAGGTCACGGTTCGATTCCCCGTCAGGGCACATGTCCAGGTTGCGGGCTCAGTCCCTGGTAGGGGGCATGCAGGAGATAGCCAAGCAAAGAGACTCTCATCATTGATGTTTCTATCCCTCTCTCTCCCTCCCCTCCTCTCTCTGAAATCAATTAAAAAAACATTAAAAAAAAGAAAAAGGCCCTGAAGTGGGAGTGTGCCTGGTGTGTTCAAGGAACAGCAAGGAGGCCAGTGTGGTGGAGTGGAGTGAGTGAGTTGAGATGGGGTGGAGGAGCACATTATGGACTACAAGGAGAGATGGGGGCAGCTGGACGTCAGGACTCTGTGCCTGGCCCTGAAGTGGCTCTGCTGAAGGCATTTTAGTTTGCATTTGTGAATGGCTGTCTACTTCTCTGTGGCTGGAAAATGTGTGCATGGCTCTCGGTCTAGGAGAGGCAGGTTGTGTTTGCATGGCTCTGGGAGATCAGAAGTGGATCAGAGCCGAGGAGGGGCACAGCTCAGCACTTTCCAGTCTTTCCTGCATTATTCTAGCTAGACCCCTGTCTGCAGGGCACGGTAGCTTTGCCTTTCTCTTCTGTTTATCTCCTGGCTGTGTCTGCCACAGACTCAGTGAATTTGGTAGTACTATGTGATGTGAATATTAGGCAGCTGGAGAATTGCTTGAGATTTAAAAAATGAATATTTAGAATGGTCGAATATATAAACACCAGTTGCAAAGTATCAGAAGTTATCAAATTTCATGTGAATGTTTGTGGAGCCAGATTAATGAGAAGTTTTTCTTTTTTTGAAGTAGTAGAAGATCCTGGTTCACAATCATGGTAGTGATGTATGAAAATTCAGATATAGGTCTCCCCCCTCCGCCCCAAATCTAGGCTTTTCCCTCTCTCTTTTCCATCTTCTTCTTCCCCTCCTCCCAGTTTCCCAGCATTCCCAAAGTTGCCAGGAAGCAGTTTTAAAGTTTACCCTTGAATAGCACAGGTCTGAACTGTGTGGGTCCACTTGTATATGGATTTTTCAGTAACTATGTACAGTACTAGAACTATTCTTTCTCCTCTAGCTTTACTTTATTGTAAGATTATCTATAAATATAAAAGCCTAAGTGACCTTTATGACCGGTCGACCAGTCGCTATGACGATGCACTGACCACCAGGGGGCAGATGCTCAACACAGGAGCTGCCCCCTGGTGGTCAGTGCGCTCCTTCAGCCAACCTCCCGTGGCCGGCCAACCTCCTACGGTCCCTTCCCCTGGCCGGCCGGCCCCAATTGGCCCTGATCGCTGACCCGGCCGAGGGACCCCACGCCTCTAGTCGTATATAATACTGACAACATACCAAATATGAGTTCATCAACTGCCTATTTTCTGTAAGGCTTTCAGTCAGCAACAGGCTATTAGTAAAGTTTTTGGGGCATCCAAAGTTATATGTGGATTTTTGGTACCCTTAGCCCCCATGTTGTTTACAGGGCAACTGTGTGATATTCCCTTCCAAAGCATTAACTCATGACTGCTTGGCACACGGTATTCTTGTTGATGAATAGTCAGTTCTCTTCAGGTGATTCAGGAAAGGTCATTTCTGAGAATTTATATACCTGATAATGATCAAGTCAGGAATAAAGATGAGATGGAAAATCTTGTACTGCCTCTTGTTGGGACTTGTGAGACTGAACAGTCTCTGCTCTTCATTCTCCAGAGTTCAATAGTCTCTGTATGTGGTTTTGCGCTGGTTATGTGGCAACAGGGTGCCCTCTTGCATCAGGTTAACTCTGATTATACCACCGTCCCTTTATTAACATTGCATTTTGCCTCTGGCTGGTGAATATCAGAGCTGACAGAGGAGGGAATAAATATTTCCTGATTGCTTAACTGTGTGCCAGGATTAAGGCCTGGTTCTTTATACATGCTATCTCACTTAATCCTCAAATAAGCCTAGATAGATAGTATTCTTTTTTAAAAAATATATTTTTATTGATTTCAGAGAGGGAGAGAGAGATAGTAACATCAATGATGAGAGAGAATCATTGATTGGCTGCCTCCTGCATGCCTCACACTGAGGATTGAGCCCACAACCCAGGCATGTGCCCTGACCAGGAATTGAACCTTGATCTCCTGCTTCATAGGTCGATGCTCAACCACTGAGACATGCCGGCTGGATGGTAGTATTATTCTTCTTTTATTAACACAGAAAATAGAATCTCAGATAAATTAACAAATTTTTCTAGGGACACAGAGCTAGCAGTATATTCAAGGTTGAACAAAGGCCTAACTCAGCCGTGGGCAAACTACGGCCCGCAGGCCGGATCCGGCCCGTTTGAAATGAATAAAACTAAAAAAAAAAAAGACCGTACCCTTTTATGTAATGATGTTTACTTTGAATTTATATTAGTTCACACAAACACTCCATCCATGCTTTTGTTCCGGCCCTCCGGTCCAGTTTAAGAACCCATTGTGGCCCTCGAGTCAAAAAGTTTGCCCACCCCTGGCCTAACTCCACAGCCACTGATTTTTCATTACACCAACTGCACTAACAGCGTAGGGTCCCGGATCTCCATAAGGACTACGCCTGGGGTAAGGTCCTTGTCGTCCGGCCTGCATTGCTCCATTATTCCTCTCCAGGTGAAACTGGCCTAACAGGAGCGTCAAAGATGAACTTGACAGGAAAATAGGTTGTCATGCGAGTGGGAATCTGGAGGAGACTAGGATGACAGAAAGAAGGAGCAGTCCTTCCACTGTGTTGGGGCATGGAGTGGGGTTGGTGGAAATTGACTCCCATGTAGCTGTACAGTGAACCTCAAGAATATTTAGCCCCAGTCCAAAGGCTACACAGTAAACCATCTCCTTAGGTCCTAGCCCAGCGGCCAGGAAAAATTATCTACTTGGTGCACTAGAAAATTAAAAAAGCTTCCAGAAGAGAGAGAAAATTTTAAAAAAAGAAAGAAAAGGAAGTGGAATAAAGTTACCAGATGAAGAAGATGAGCAGACGAGCTCTGTGAACACTGGCACGAGGATTGGGTCATGAGGTTCCTTTCTGTGCACAGGGCTGTAACGGATATCGTTCAGCAGTTATTTACTGTGCTGCTACAAAGTGCCAGGCCTGTGCAAGGGACTCTGTCGGGCTGAGAGGAAAGCCCTGGGAAATTTATAGGCCGATGGGAACAAGATAAGGACAGGCACCTGCAACACCCAGTGGAACAGGGGCCAGAGGAAGCCATTTCAGTAGGAAAAACTGGACTGACGGGGTTCTATTCTGGCCCATCATTCGGATGCTTTGTGACCCTGAGCAAGTTATCTTTTGCCTCTGGGACTCAGTTTTTCTCATCTGCAGAGACAGTGTACCTCACAGGAATATTGCAGCAGCAGATGTATATACAATAACATGACATGTAATAGAGTTGCATAAATGGCCACCATTTGATTATTAAGTGCTGTGAAGTGCCTCATCATCCTTACTTGCGGGAGCGAGGCACCTCTCACCAAAGCCCGGAGGAAAAAGGAACTGATTTAAAATAAGCAGCACGTTTATGAGCCAAATGGTCAAGCAGAAGGGTGGGGCCAAACCTAGGGCAGGGACATCTGAAAGCAGAGCCCAGGCCAGGCTGCCAGCTGGAGACCCAAGGGAGCCACGGGGGCAGGCTCAGCGGAAGAGCAGGTCAGGGCTGAAGCTGTGTGTCGCAGGTGCGGTTGAGATCCCCACAGAGAACAGATAAGAGTAATCACTGTCCCTAAAGAGTGAACCCCCCGGGTGGTAGGTGTGGTGGACAAGTGAAGGGCGCCAGCAACCCACTCCGAGGCTGAGAGCTCAGACAATGGGTTTTCCACTGCGGATGTGATTCTAGTCAGAGAAGAACCGGCTCTGAATCACCCAGCATCCGCATGCTTGCTTATTCATTGCGATGATTTTTATTTTTATTAAAAATAACATTTGCCTTGAATGATTATTTTCAGAAATGCAGAAAATACGAATAAAAACAAAATCACCTATAACCTCACCATCCAGATGTAACCATTGTTAATATTCTTGTGTTCCTTCCAGACTTGATTCTGGTGCATATCAATATACATATTCTTGTTTATTTAAATAAAATGGGATTAGATAATAGTTAAAGATTTGTGAGATTTATTTCATTTAAGATGTCACTGCCTGTTTTTATTTTACATCATTTTAATGGATGAATGTTATTTTATTGTATGAATTTATATAATTCCTCACTGTGGGACATTTACCCTTTAATTTTCTGCTATTATAAATGATGTGATAAACACTTCGTTGATAAGTCTAAGGAGATGTGCACAATTCATCAGTGAAATAGATGACTAGGTCAAAGGATATGCAGAATTCTAAGGTTTATTTTATTTCAACAAATTGTCTTCCAAAAACCTTGTATAAAATTGGCAGTCCTGTTGACAAGTCTGTGCGAACATTCATCTTCCCGGAGCGTCAACCGCAGTAGATAATACCAGGATAGGGGAGGGTCTCTCGTTCTGTAGATGAAAATGCTGCATCTGTTTTAATTTTATGGGCCGTTGATTTATACAGGTGACTCCACCCTCACACCAGTCTCCCTTGCATTTGCCATCCCTTCCTTACTCCCTGATGATGTTTTCTATTTTGCAGTATTGCTGGGAGCCTGGTGTATTCCTACATCATTTTCTCTGAAGAGCAGCTGAGCAAACAGTCGGAGGCCAGTAACAAGCTGGACATTAAGGGGAAAGGAGCAGTATGACCAGAAGATTGCATCAGCGACGTAGGCCTAAGACTTTGATCAGCTTGGAGCACTGGCAATTCTTACACAGATACTGGGGTGTCTTGATTATGGAGAAAATACCATTCCTTTGCACTTATACAATCTTAGGATTGATTGCTGCCTTTTAACATTTTATGAGAGAAACTTATAATTGACTCTATTTTAATTATGCCATTTGAATTAATTTATATCAGACTGGAAAATGCACCAGGCTTTTTAATTTATTTTTCTTCTGTGCCGACAGTGAACCATCGGTGTTTGGAAAAACTGTTGTATTCCATACTTTGATATCCAGGTGTCCCTGAGAGCTGCATCTATAAAGTGCTCCAACTGGAGCCTCCTCGTTCAAGTCATTGCTGCGTCTGGAGGCAGGTCTAGCCTTCCTTCTGCTGGAAATGCAGTGGAGTATCGGCAGTGTCTCTTCTTTGAATTACATTTCTTAACGATTGCATTTTCTTCATAAGGATATCGTTGCATTTGCCAAAGACTACAACTTTGGCTCTAAAAAAATAGGCGGGGCTTAGAGGTGTATCACTTTGCATGTTGGCTTTCCTGAGAACTCCTGGGATGAGCAGAGTGCATTCCTTGAAAACTTGCTGTTCCCTCTTGGTTGTGTGGGATGGGGATAATGAAGTGCTGGAGGAAGCACTTATCTATCTCTCTGATTCATTCATTCACCTAAAATGTAGTGAGTGTGTAACATGTGCCAGGCCTGATCCTAAGTGCTGGGGATACAGAGAGGTTTTCGGAAGTCGTTGAATGAGCTCACTATGGCTGTAGTGACTGAGTGAAGTAAGACAGAGAACTCAGCTTGATCCATCCATTCAGCAGATGTGACTATGAACAAGTCGTAGAACTTTATCCAGTTCTTAGACACTGCAATCTATATGTGGGGTTGGAAGCACCCGCCCCACCTCACCCACAGCGGTGTGAAACCAAACGCTGAGGTGTGAGATCAGAGGCATGTGAAGAGGTGCATTTTGTGAACCATGCAGCCCGGCCCTTCCCTGAGTGAGAATGGTAGGCAGGCAGGCAAGGTGACCCCTCTGTATTTCCCCGTGCATCCCTTCTCCGGGTTTAGCTGCTACTCTTTTTACCCCTCTTTAAACCAATATGACTGGGTCTTACATTCCTGAATGCATTGGCTTGAGGGGAAAGGCTGGTTAGATGTTTGTGTATTGTTGAGGGCTGGTTGGTGTTAGAGCTGTCACCTTTCTCCTGACGGCATGAGCACACCTCTCTCCTGTGGTCACTCCCACCTACGTTCTGGTCTTTGTCCTTTCACTGCCTTACTGAGGACACCAGCTTCTCTCAAGCCCAATGCTGCATTCTGGGAGAACAGCTGTGAATGGACATTGAATTGCCTCTTTGGGTGGGCCAGGGTGTTAAATTCAACACAGTCCTGTGACTTGGTTCAGACACATCTGCTGACTTTGGGGAGGAGTGTTTGCTCAGCCAGTTGTGCAGTGAGTATGCAGGAGGCTGGGTGCCTGGTGCACACACTACTTTTAGTTCATTGGGTGTGGGATCCACTGGGCTCCTTTGATCTAAACAATGAATAATTTGGTGTCTCAATATGGCACCTGGAAGGTTTTGATCTATTTATATTTTTGATGGAGGTCATATTTATGCTTTTCCCTTATTTTGCTTTGTCTTTATTAAAGCCTGGCCAGTGGTGCTGGGTCCCCAGAATTAGCCTCACAGCCAACTTCCAAGTTATAAGCTCCATGTAAGAGTTCCTAAGGCTCACTCCCCTGCCCCCCCCCCCCATATCAGCTGATCTGAGGAAATTCTGGTGGGAGCATAGGACATTACCTTGTGTAAGATGGTTCTTACTGTCCCTGTTTTACCAATGAGAAAACAAGACTCAAAGAAAGTAGGTGATTTGCTAATTAGTCAAAATATGTGTTTTTTCCATTGTACCATGCTGCCATAAATTAACTGTCCTGTAAGAGGGAGTAAGGAAATGGGGGTGCTAGCTGGATTAGCTTGCGGCAAGCAGTTGATTGAATTTTAGTCAGAGAGGAATAGGCTTTGCAAATCAGGGAGAATGATGGATCACACTATATGCCAGCGCTCTCCTCTAACTCCCAGGCTGGCCGCAGCTGATACGCACTTCTGGCTGTGACTGTTGCCTGTCACTGCCTGGGTTTGCCTGGGCACAGTGGAAAGGCATTGTGAGACCTAATTCCAGCAGTTCTGTTCCTTTTTCTACTAGCCACATGGAAGAAAGAACTTGGACATTAGAAATAATTTGTGTTGTAGAATTTCTCATCATGAAAGGCCTTTGGATGTGTTTCGAGGTGTTGAACTAGAACCCCACCAGGAGTTGAATTTCCTCTTGGGATCAGGTTCCCTTGAAGATCCGCCATCTCTCCAGGTTTATCTGAGAAAATCATGTATAAGATACAGCTTCGCTAAATGCACATGATCTCAGGGCCCATACCCTATGCCGAACTGACTGACCAGACGCAATAGGACAACTTATAGCTCCTGTCTGTATGTGCTGTGATTCCTGGATGCCCCCTTCAACTGCCATCCACATTGTAGGATAAGAGGAAGCAGCCTGGGGGAGTTGGGGTCTATTTGAGAGTTCTGTCTGAGCAAGGACAGAACTGGCCAACCGTTTTTGGAGTTTGCTTCCATTATGTGCAGCTCGGTTACAGCAGGACGCTGGAGATTTCCCTAGTGCTATTTCTGTCTGAGCAAGGACAGAACTGGCCAACCGTTTTTTGGAGTTTGCTTCCATTATGTGCAGCTCGGTTAGAGCAGGACGCTGGAGATTTCCCTAGTGCTAGAGCATCACCCAGGCTGTCTGGAGTGTATCCTGAGGTTGATATCTTACAAGGTCAAACATTCTCTGACCTGGTAACTACCTCCTGGGAGGAAAAAGCGGCAGTGTCGAGTTCAGTCTGTAATTTGCTCTGTGAGACAGATGAGCTGTGGAGAGAATTCTTTTAAAGCAAAATTCTGACTAATAGCTTCTTTTTGAGTTAATGACAGTAGAGTCCTTTTTGGTCAGTTTGCTTTCAGTCAGTGCCAGATTGATTCAAATAACCCTGGTTGATGGGGCTACACATTGCCAACATAACATGTCCAGTGATTTTTAATGACCTCATATGGCTGTCGACTTTATGAGTCAGTCATTTGTAGGATCCATCTTGAATGTAGGTGGAAAGTTTTCGGTAGTCCTATTGTATCAGAAATCCATGGAAAGTTCGGGTCAGTAAAGCTGGTATGTGATCTTCATGGAAAGAATAATAGAATTTCACACATTTGACTGGTTGGGAGTAGTACCTAGGAATTTAGGCTTGCCTTTCCTTTGTGATGGCCTTAGTCAGTGAGCAAAGATTTACTGAGCATCTATTTGCTGCCAGTCGTTATGCTCAGTGTTTTGTTTTGGGTGGCAAAATTATGCTCAGAGACTAAGATTGCTTTGCCAGTATTTTATTTAACACATGTTCACTGTGGGAATTCTAAAAATTTCCTAAGCCCATAACAAAACAACATACTCCAAAGCAATGATAGTTACACTACTGTTCCAGGCCAGGTGAGGGAAGGTGAATGAAATAAAGCCCAAATCTAGTTGAGGTGTACCTTTTCTATAAGGTTGGTTCTTGGGAGAGACAGCTTAATCAACGGAGTTGCCTTCCAGCTGCCAGCACAAACCAGATCGCTTGTGCTAGAGCAGATTGCTGGGGAATGCTGGCCCTAGCTGGCCGGCAAGATGTCCTCTGAGAGGCTGCTGCAGGCTCTTGTCACTGCTGGTAGGAGTCACCATTACTGTGGGGAGCTAGTGCCCAAAGGTCTTGGGAGAGCTGTTTAGATCAGCAAAGGGTCTCCTTGCCCAGAGAGAATTTCAAATAGACCTCATAAACTCTCTTCACAAACATGCAGACTATTTATAGTCTAAATAGGCCCTCGTCACAGTTGCTTCCTCTTGAGATGTTTTTTATTGATAGGCCTCCAGGGACGCTCCTCAACAGCTGAGATGATGTCATCATGACATATTTTACTTCACTTTTATATCAAAACAGCTTTACTCTTTTAAAAAAAAATACATATTTTTATTGATTTCAGAGAGGAAGGAAGAGGGAGAGAGAGAGAGAAACATCAATGATGAGAGAGAATCACTGATGGGCTGCCTCCTGCATGCCCCCTACTAGGGTTCAAGCCTGCAACCAGGCATGTGCCCTTGACTGGAATCGAACCCGGGACCCTTCAGTCTACAGGCTGACGCTCTATCCATTGAGCCAAACCAGCTAGGGCAAAGCAGCTTTACTCTTAAAACAACTTTATTTTTGTCATAAACAAGTAAATTTGAAATCATATCAAACCAATATACAACACGAAGCTCTGGGGAAAATGAGATGAATAGGACATGTTTCTTGCTTGTATTCTTCAGCAAGACCCTAACTGAAAGAAGTAGTTGAAGGAGTCGGTGATTTATCAGTATCAGTGATTAGGGGTGACCCACCCATAAAGCTGAAGCTTTTTTTTTTTTAACTCTAAGAGGACTTTTATAATTTATACTAGTCTTTTAGCTCTGAGATGTGCCAGGCTATAAGAATTCCATGACTACCCTGAGTCCCTCTTCCCTTTACTGCGTTTATTCTTGCTTCCCCATAACTTTGTATTATTAGTTCCTCCTAATACTAATATTCAAAAGAAATGAGGTATTGGATGCAAAACTACTCAGCACAATGCCTAGTATATATTAGGCACTTGGCAGATTTTGTTACTGTCATTTTATGGTGAGACTTTAGGCAAAACAAGTTTCTTAAGTTGTGTTCTTTAAATGCTAGAGGCCTCGACAATGTGTGTATTTCTTGAAAAATGTGACCTGTACCTTGTTTGCTTCCGGAATGCTTAAATAACAGTGTCTTTTCAAGATCTTTTAAAATTCCTACCGGATATACCATAATTGTGGCCATTGTGTGATACAGGTGATTCCACGTTGTTTTTTAAAAATGACGGAATTATTTATATTTTTACGGTAAATTTCAAGAAACAAACATTATGTTACCTCTTAGAGCATTGGTTCTCAACCTTCTGGCCCTTTAAATACAGCTCCTCATGTTGTGACCCAACCATAAAATTATTTTCGTTGCTACTTCATAACTGTAATGTTGCTACTGTTATGAATCGTAGTGTAAATATCTGATATGCAGGATGGTCTTAGGCGACCCCTGTGAAAGGGTCGTTCGACCACCAAAGGGGTCGCGACCCACAGGTTGAGAACCGCTGTCTTAGAGGAAGGTAATTACACTTCAGAATGGTGATTCAGTTAAAACGTTCCCAGTTTGTCCCTTTAAGGTGGCTGTTTGCATGCCCGTCATTCCTCCTTCCCTTCTCCGAAATAAACGCCCGGACAACGCGCTTCGTCTGCATCTGCGTCTGGGTTCATCTCAGTTGTTGGTGTTTGTGAACCTCTGGCACCTTCACTAAACCTGTTTCTAGTACTTGTGTTAGGCTCCCGCTTCATCATGGTTTGAGGAGATACTCCATGGTAGGGTGTTTTTTTGTTTTTTGTTTTAAGCTTTCTTTTTTGAAAATACTTTTAAAATAAATCTACTGGTTAGATTTATTGTCTCACAGAAATGTTTTTAGAGATTATGTTGTTCATAAATGTTGCTTTCTCATGCTGATGATCAACTGATTTTTGTCTACAAACGTTGGCCTATTATAGTATTTTTTCAGTGTAGATTCTATTTACCAAATGACCATTTTAGTGTTTTTAAGAGGTACTGAGAATTGAGATATGTAAACCAGGTGACATAAACATGAAAATTATGTGCCTAAATATTTTTGTAAAGTTGCCAAATAAATACTTTTTTTCTGAACACATGTATCTGCAACATTTTATCTATTCACCCATTGATAGACGCTTGGGTTGCTTCTACCTTTTGGCTGTTGTGAGTGCTGCTGCTGAACGTGGGTGTCTTAGTCAGTTTGTCACCATGCAGAAACCTTATTTCCTTTTCTGTGGACTTTTATTTTGATGTTTTCCCTTTGACTCAAACTGGCCTCACCTAGCGCCCTGCCCTGGCTCACACACCTCCTTCTCCCTTGCTTAATCGTTAAGCCCTCAGGACAGTGAGGTTCTGGTCAGCATCCAGTAATCTTAGGAACAAGCCCCTGGGTCTATTGACTATTGAGACAGGGTTTTCAATCAAACGAATCCTAATATCTTGGCCTCAGTTGTGTTTTAGCTCTGGAACAGGAAAGTGGAATGACCCCACAGAACAAATCCTTGTGAAGTTGGATAGAGCAACTCCATGGCTGACATGAGGACTGAACGCAGTGATCAATTACCCATATCCTGGCACCAACCAATCAGTTGAGACCACACCCTAACTCTTTTAGTCACCATGGTTAATGACTTTTCCCCTGTATAACCACCCCCCGGAAGCTATCAGGGAGCCAAGTATTTGAGTATGAGCTACCTGTGTCTCCAGGCCTGGCGCCATCTCCTCAAGAAATCCTTACTTTCTTGGCTGCAAACTCCCGTTCCTGTCTATTGGGCTTTGACACATGCAGGCGAATGAACCCCTTCAGTCCGGTAACAAGTTAGGACTGCTGTAACAAATGACCACAGGCTGGGTGCTTAACCAACAAGCATTTACTTCTCACAGTTTTAGAGAGATGTGCAGGGTCAAGGTGCCGGCAGATCCAGGGTCTGGTGAGAACCCTCTTCTGGGTTTGGAGATGTCCGTCTTCTCATAGCCTCACATGGTGGAGAGCAAAGAGAGGTAGCAAGCTGTATTTTGCCTCTTCTTAGGGCACTAATCCTATCAGGAGGGCTCCACCCTCATTACCTAATTACCTTCCAAAGGCCCCATCTCCAAATACCATCACCTT